ACCTAACCGTACTGTGGCCCAAATTATAATGCATGAGGTGGCTGTTACAGTCAGCAAAAAGGCTCAGAGCTGTATGCTATCTTTAGAGCAGCGGCACTGAAATATCACAGAAAATGTCTCATCTTGTTCCTCTTATTTTATGTTACCCTGTGTTAAGTGGTGTTAGAGGAAAGGACGGTTTTCCTGGTGAACAATGGGAAGTCTCAGTAGTGGAGGGAATAGGACATTTCTCTGCATAACTCTGGGGGAACCAGCCCCTGTTTCCACGATAACTCCCACACAACCAGCCAGGCTCACCAACGGCCTGCTCATCCACCTGCATCATGGAAAACAGAGTTTAATAAGGTGAGGATGATAAACATGTTGTGTCCCTACTGCAGTCATCTTATGGACCAATCAGGAACAATTACTGTTATATTGCGATCATTTCCAATTAGTGCAAACATATCACAACAGTCCAGTGGGATGTAAACAGTTCACTGTGCATGTATTTGACACAAACTACTACTGTGATCAGTGCACACTTATATATTGCAGTTTATCCGACCACTATTTCACTATAATATTACTTGACAAGGACATTTCTTTCTTTTCACTTTACCCTGTCTGTCGTAGGCATGATGTATTTTTTGTAGGCCAAGGTGGAAGTTAGCATCACCCTGGTTTCCAAGAAAGCCAATGGGATTTTTCTATGAAGTTCTAGATTATTGCCGAAAATAAGCTCTGTGACAAACAAGAGTTTACAAGTTTTGTTCAGCAAGATAATCTTCACAAGTAAACACCACTTTTATAATTTTGGAACAACAAATACAATCACCAAAAGCAAAAAGCTACTGCTAGGCTAGAAACAAATTACACCACAGTCCCATGACTTCAATGTCACCACCATGGCTTCCAACTTGTTAACTGATTTAGCACGCTTTCCTCTTCTGAAAGATCCTTTTCTCTTAGCGTGACCTGATCTAGCTAGTGATCGTGGCTGTGTCAGTCAGTTAGAATAGTTTGTAAGTGTGCGAGTTTAAACATAACGAGGCTGTAAAGGTGGACTGGTGAGTCTTCATGTTTGGTGCGATGACACTTAATATCTCAGACAACCTCTCTAGTCTCATTTAATCCCTTGTTAGCAACTGCCTTTTTAAGACATGTAAAAGGACTAAATAAACACAAGTGGGGTGATCTTCATGTAACACGTCAGCCTCTAAATTTGACCCAGTTACCAGCTACTCAGCTTTAAAGTATATTTAGAAGCCGTGCCATCAATACAGGGGAAGAAAAATTAAGAGAATGGTTTGAAGCAATCAATCAATCAATCAATCAATCAATCCATTAACTGCAAAACTGAAAATCAGGTCTGCAGTAAACATGCTATATACCTGACAGAAATAACTAGCCAATGAAGTAAAGTTCCTATAAATTTAAACTAGAAATGCATATGAGTAATTCTACTTTATAAACAGTTGGAGTATTAAAACAAATATGACATTTTCTCAGAAAGTAAAACGGCAAATATTAAGCACATGAATGTGACTTTATCAAAAACAACATTTAGGAAGATGAAAAGCTACTTTCACAGTTTTGTTAGAATGTGAGTGTGTACAGATGTGAGTTTGTGTGTGTTTAGGGCGAGTGTGTCTCGTACCTCTATGAAACAGTCTGCGTCTATGCTCAGCTCATCTGAATTGCGGGCAACAAACGAGTACAGAGCTCTGTAGGTACTCAGCTTGGATGATTGCTGCTCTCCTCTTTCCTGCTCTTCTTTCCTCTTCCTCTCCTCCTCCTTTTTTCGTTCCTTTTCTTCTTCCTCCTCCCTCTTCCTCTTCTCCTTCTCCTCCTCCTCCTCTCTCCTTCTTCTCTCCTCTTCCTGTGCTTTCTCCTGAGCTGCCCGGAGACGTGCCTGTGCCTCCCTCTCCTTCTCCTTCTCCTCCTCTCTCCTTCTTCTCTCCTCTTCCTGTGCTTTCTCCTGAGCTGCCCGGAGACGTGCCTGTGCCTCCCTCTCCTTCTCCTTCTCCTCCTCTCTCCTTCTTCTCTCCTCTTCCTGTGCTTTCTCCTGAGCTGCCCGGAGACGTGCCTGTGCCTCCCTCTCCTCCTCCTCCCTCTGTCTAGCCTTCTGCTCCTCCAGGAGCCTCCTCTGCCGGGCCTCCTCTTCTTCCTTCTCCCTCTTCTCCCATTCCCTCCGCTCCAAGTCTCTTCTCTCTTGCTCTAGCTTTGCCTGTCTATGAGGATCAATGTTAATTTTTATTGGCTTCTTAGTGTTCACATATGGACCCATAAACACAGATGAAACACACATTTTAACAGTAATGAAAGTCAAAAATCTCGAGATTCAAGTAATAGGTCACTGGGAATAATCCGCTATATGCACCGAAATCAGGCAGATTAAGTTACATGTTCCCTCAGACATACCTTGCTGCCTCTTCTTCCTCTCTCCTCCTCCTTTCTTTTTCTTCCTCCTTCCGTCTCTGCAGCTCCCTCACTTTCTCCTCTTTGACTCGGTACAGGTCGTCCAGCACAGCCTGCTGTCTCACCTGCTTCTCCCGCAGCTCCTGGTGTAGTCAGTCATATCCATTACATCAGACAGAAATACAGACACAGCATCAGCTAGCTGTTAATGAAATTTGCACTTATTAATTAGAAATTGTTCATAAACATTAAAATAATGTAAAAAAAAAATAAAAATACTAAGCCCACAAACCAGCCCAGACTGGAAAGGTGCAGATATGTTTAATAAATGTTTAAGCTTAGATATTTGTTCCCCTTTCTAAACTGTGCAGGTTAAACATTCTGCATGTGTGTTTTACCCTCAGGGTGCATCCTGTTTACAGAGAAAACACAACGCTAGAACAAATTCCATGGAGAGGAACGACAACAAAAAAGGAAGGCATGGTACCAAAGCAGAGCTCCATTTAATAATGAGTGAAAAGACTAAAAAGCAAGGATGAGAGAACAAATCGAATCATCACGAGATGAAAAGGAAAATAAGATGGTGTCTCAAGGGAGAACAAGATGTTGAGATAAATAACAACATGAGGAGGGCTGGTGAAAAAGATTACACAGTGAGAGGTGAAGAGGAAGACACAGAGAGGAAGGATAACCTTGATAAGAAGGAAGAGCTGGCTGAGGCAGGCCAGCAAAGACAGGAGGCCCCGCAGGACACAGTCATCCATATCCCCAAGCTACGAAAGAAACACAGTGATGATAGAGAGGGAAAAGGAGGTGGACAAGGGGCGAGAATAAAATATAATAAAGTGTGATAAAGATAGGAAAACATATGTGAATTGTAAGGAGGATAACAGAGGAAAAGGGGAATGCAAGGAAAAGTACAGAGAAGAAGAATGCAAAGGAATAAGAAAGATGTCCAGGTAGTGAGGAGCCAAGGAAAAAGACAAAAGAGAGAAAGGCAGGGGGTTAAATGCTTTAAACAGCAGTTAAGAAATAAAAAAGCATTTGAGCAGAGCAAAAGAAAAAGAGAAGACTTTTTGATGCTGCAATGTTTAGTATCAGATTGACGATGGATTGTGAGAGGGCATAACATCGTTCTTCACAGGTACTGAATCACCTGTCAGTGAATGGGAACACCTGACTCTGTACGTGTGCAACGGCGGTTAAGTAATGAGATTTTCTTTGCCTGAAGGTTGAAACAATTGAGTTACTGTGACCAGTTAAACATAACTTCACAGCAGCATTTTAAGTGTGAAACCCCCAGTTTTTGTTCAATTCCAATAATGCCTGTGCTGAAGGAAAGAAAAAATTGCAATTGCAGTACTGGTAGTATCCATCATTAAGTAATATTACTTTATTTATTGCTGCATGTTTGTACTATTACATCAGAGTGATCTATTTGGACTAAAGGCAGTGAGTAGATTGGTAAAATATTGTATGCCTGTGACGTCACACTGACAATTCGCATGTTGACATTTGGCATGTGTTTTACGCCAGATGCCCTTCCTGACGCAACCCTGACTTGAACCCAGGCCACAGCGGTGAGAGCGCTGCGCCCTAACCACTAGTCTATCAATAATAAACATGAAAAATCACTGATATATCATCTTTTAAAGAGGGCTATTCAGTTATATTCTGCCCCTTCACAATATTCTAAATCTTTATTTTCTGCTTCCAATAAGTGACCAAGACATTGGAAAGCAGTGAACCTAAATTCTTAACTCCACAAAGCACACCCTGAAAATTGATTGGTGACATCATGGAGTCCTGTGGTCGGAACTACAATACCCTGGAGAAGCCTTTTCTGGCTTGTCCTGTGGCAATTTGTGTCATGAATTCAAATAGTCTAAACTCCTTTTAGGCCTAAAAGGTCATTGTATGTTGAATGTGTCCTGAATTGATCTGTACTAATCACTGACCTTAAGCTCCTTGTTGTACTGCTCCATCTGAGCCAACTTGTCCGTCGTTTCCCTTTCCAGAGCATCAAGCTGGTCCTTCAGCCTCCGGCAGTTCACGCCTTTCTCCGTCACGCTCCCAGTCAGAGAGGTCAACGTCACAGCTACAAAGCAACGGCCAAACATCAGACTCATGTGAGAGAAGTCAGTGCGTGTCCCTGTGTTGTGCAAGCGGGCATTTGTCACTCACTGGAAAGTTTGTTGAGGCTGATGTTTCGCAGCTTCTCAGCTAATCTCTGTTGTTCTGGGACCAGCTGGGAGAGCTTCCTCTGCCAGTCCTGTGGAAAACAAACACATATTAACAGAGAATCTAAATACAGTCAGGAGAATTATTTAAATGTAAAGGTTTGACAGATCACAAGTGAAACAAGGACATCTTCTCTAACTTCAAACTGAAGCTGCAGCGTGGCTATTTCTGCGATGCGAGCATCCCTCTTCTGATTGACGAGGTCCACCTCTGCCTTCTGAATTCGTTTCTTGCTCTGGGCGTCACGGAGACGGTCTGAGATCTGCTTGTGCTTGTTGCCCTGGGAGAGCAGATGATGCCTTTATTAACATTAGAGTGTTGTACGTAGGCACATGTGTGAATGTTAGTGTAGTCTCACCACAGCCTCCAACTCCAACTCTAGACTCTTCTTTTTGGCCCTGAGTTGAGAGATCTCTTCCTGCTCCCCCTCTCTCCTCCTGCCCAGCTCCTTTTTCTTCACTCGCTCCCACTCCTCTCTCCGCTGCCGCTCCATCTCCTGCTTTGCTGCCTAACAGGAGGAAGAAAGGGGGTTACCCAACATTCATCCAAATGCCTAGTGCCTCACATGTCCTTCCACTCACCTCCTTCCTCTCCAGCTCCTTGAGCCTCTCCTCTTCTTGCTGTCTCTCCATCTCTCTCTGCCTCTCCAACTGCCTTTCCTCCTCCAGCCTCCTCCTGTTCTCCTGTTCCCTGGCTTCCCTCTCCCTTTTTTCCTGAGCCTCCCTCTCCTCCCTCTCTCTCCTCTCCCTCTCCTTTCTCTGCTCCTCCTCCAGAGCCAGTCGCCGCTTCTCAAGCTCTGCGCTGCCTCTCGCAAAGTTCTCCTTCAGCTTGTCCTCAAGGGACACTGAAAAAAGAAGGAAGAGGTACAAATACTACTATATAACCAACATGACAAAACATACATGTTGAAGAACATGCCATACCACTGCTTTTGGTCTTTTGTGCAGGCTCCATATCTGTTGTGTCTGTTAAACAGGGTGTTACTTGAGGTCCCATTCCATTAACAAGCTCACTGGACTTGACTGTCCCTCTGAAAAAAGAAAAAGAAATGTGTGTGATTGTATTTACTTTATGAAGCCAGTAAATGTGTCAATCTGTGTGTATGTGTTACCTGAGAGAGGGAGGTACCAAGTCTTGAGGCAGTGTTAGAGGTAGCGGGCGACCAGTTTTAGCCATGTCCACCAGGTGCATGGCCAGAATGAACTCATCAGCTCGCAGCTGACCATCCTTATCTACATCTGCAAGGGTCCTGTGTACAAATAACACAAAGCAATAGCATTAGATTTTAGTCACCTGAAAGCAATGGAACCAGTTGTAAACATGTTTTGGTCTTCACCAGCTCTTGAGACAAAGGTTCACCGGCTCATTACTATAACTTTGTCTGCCCTTTGGCACTGAGCAGGCAGTGTACAATGAAGCTGAGAGCAGGTGCCTGCTGTGGCTGGAAGTAAGGCTGGTGTGCAGAGACTGAAAACAGTAAGGCTGCAGGAAAAAACAATGAGCTGAAAGACACTAAAATGCTCAGGAAAGAGCTGAGGCAAAATGCACAGAGTGGTGGTGATCATCTATGGGTTATCAAATGGCCACATCATAAGTAATCAAAAGGCTACTGTTACCGGTTGGGTAAACACACAGACATCTTACACTCACCAGATGGTAGCTAGTTGAGTATGGGTCAGGTTTGATGCCATCAGTGCATTTCTAACCTGGGGTCCTGAAGAGTAAAAATAACAGAAGTAACACCAGAGTCAATGCTCACACCAGCTGATGTGGATGTGTTTGTGTGTCTGCCTGCCAAGTTCTGTCAAGTGGAGTTAAGAGCAGTCACAAGAGTACATGAGTACAGTATGAGCAGCCAAGCAGTGCTAAGAAGCTTGTTTATTTAGGTTGGAGGGTGTGTGTGTGTGTGTGTGTGTGTGTACATGTCTTTCTATGGTTGTGTGGACAAATTTTAGTTGGGTGTCATTGTTGTGAGGACCTTTTTAATGGTCCTCACAACTTTAAAGGAATGTCTGAGGGTTTCAACCTGGTTTTAGGATTCAGGTTAGAATTAGGTTTAGGTTCAAGTCAGGGTGAGGGTTGGGTGTTAGGCATTTAGTTGTGATGGTTAGGGTCTATGTGATTACGTCAGTGAGTGTTTTTACAACTGTCAAAAGACAAACATATATGTGTATGAAAGTGGGTGTGTGTGAGATGCACCTGACAAGTAGCCACTCATGAGCTTGTCTAGTGTGTTGAACTGCTGACGGTACTTGAGTCTGGAGGCCTGTGGAACGGCCCAGTCACTTGCACCTGTCTTTGGGGAGTTACTGGCCAATGACGTGGTGGAGGAAGAATTTGAACTAAAAACAGAGAACAGAGAGGAGAGGCATATCAATATGCTGGGATATCACCTAAAGGGGAATTACACAATACATTGTTCCCTTTCTCCCTTGTATTCAAACCTTGACTTAAAACCACTTGCTCCGAGACTCCCCGGTGTTATGTCTCAGCTCTTAATTAGCTGTTGAGGTAGCTGGTGCAAATAACCACATAGACAATGACTCTCTGAAACAAGTCCAGTATGTCTATATTATAAACAATGCATCTGGAAGAATAACAAAAGAATAGGTTGGGTCACTGATGTTCATTTAAGAAGAATGTATTTTTTCAGTCTTTACAGCTGGGTAGAATAATCCTCTAAATAAAAGAAGAGGTTTCAGGGTGGGAGATGGCGAGTGGGATCTTCCCTTATCTCTGTGTGTATGCATGTGAGTGTGGTTAAAGTGCTCCAGTAAAATTCCCCCATATTAAAACTTTCTATGTGCCTGGAAACAAAAACAGGCAGGAACAATGTGCCTAGCAGCATATTAGAGGGTGTAATAGTGATCTGGTTGGTTGCTGGATCAACCTGTATTTACTTTCCGGCGCTCCGGTACCCTCATTGATGCTTGCCTTACCACCTACACCTGAGGTCAGGAGGTTTTGTATGAACCACCTAGTCACTCAAAACAATGAAATCAGATAGGACTCCTTTCAAACACCATGAGAAGAGTTAGGATATTAGATACTACTGTTGTGTTTTTTTTCCAGGGAACCTGGCTGTCCCTGAAACAACACAAAACCTCTTCTATGTTTACTCCTCATTACAGTATGTCCCACCAGTGTAACTATTCAAGGTAGAGATCAAGTGTAAAAGAAATGAACATTTCACTGGATGGAAAACTACAAGCCTTTCCAGTTGCTATCACATATTTCCACTTCCCTTTAAGATAGAAGCTAAAATTCACTGGCTGTGACATTTTTAAAGTGATAAAACCCACTGGACAAATAATTTAAATGCATCACTTAAAATACAAACTCTCTTTAGAATGATACTAGCAGCTCTGTGAGCTGTAATACATTTAAGATAAACGCTAACATTAGCATGCTAACACCTTCACAATAAATAGTAACATGCTAATATTTTGGAGGTAGTAGGTGTCTATCATGTTTACTGTGTTACTTTGTTATCATTCTAACTTTAGCTAGTATTACACACAAATAGAAATGTTAGTTTTTTTGGGACATTTCATTCCTGTTCTCCTCTAATGTTTGTGACTAAACAAGCCCACTTCCTACTGCTGCCAGCTAAAACATTGGATTTCAAAATGCCCTTCCTGCTTTCCCTGTTATCGGTTTCATCTCTGCCTGCATCCTGAACCCTATAGCCTGCAAAAATCTCTGTACAGGGTTGGCTTGCCTGTGTGCGTCTTGTGTTTTTAACCAGCTTTTCCACAGAAATCACTGCATAATAAATTGTACATTTTTAAAAATACTACAACTTACATGGAAATGACATAATTAGTTCTAAATGTATGTTTCAACTACACTCTAATGTGCTGACAGAGGACGTAGTTTCTCAGAATGGCTAAAGATTAATTCTAAAATGTGAACCTTTAGGGGAGTTGACACTGTTATTTTATGCAATATGCATTTACTCTGGATGTCACCTGCTGGATCCAAGGTCCAGGAGAGAGTTTGCCTTTGACATGCCGGTGGATGGAGAGAAACCCAAGGGGGATGAGAAACCAGAGACAGGGAGTGCTGAGAAACAATTGGAGGCAGTCAGTTAACAATTTATAGTTAATACTTTTGTCATTTTGACAAATTCAAGGCAAAAGGAGAAAAAATGTGTGATTGCTTTTGTGCATACATGTTATGTATACAATTAATCTCTGGCATAGTGGAAACATGCAAAGTACAGTTGCCCTTGACTGTGTGTACATCTAATCTTATCTCCTCACACTTCACAGTTGCAGCACATAGAGCTCCAGCAGCAAGGTTATTGACATCTGGTTAAAACAAAGTGATGACAGTGTGAATACCAAATAATAGAGAGATTTCACACTTGCTCTCATTAGATTGCTCATTTCACAGCCAAAAGTTATACACAGACAGCAAAGGGACAAGTGGAGGAGGTGAGAGATGAAGAGGAATTGACAAATAAAAAATAATTGAGTGTGTATATATTACATATGCACACCTATAACTAACATCACTTACAATTTTAGCAACTGCAAAAAACTGTGGTGGCTCATCTCCTGGGTGATAAAAACCATTTCTTACTGCAACGTGCACACATACTGTATATTCGGATACTTCTGTATTCAGTGCAATGCATAAGACCTCAGGGGGTAGATAATGTGCAGCCCTTTAATGTTGAATTTGTAATCCACGCTACTTTACTGCACCACTAATGCTCGGGACCTGAATATCTGACCCAGATACACTAAATATTACATAAGTAAAACCTAAGAAATACTTTAGCTAGTAAAGTTTTTAGTAATGTGCAATTATTGCTCAGAATAATCTGTCAAAAATAAGTTGTCAAACATGAAAAGGAACAATTTTAGCGGGCCAAAATATAATACATTTAATGGCAAGTAAATCTGTTTCATTTATATGTATACATTTGTGTGTTCAGTTAAGAAAGAATTAGCCTATGATGCTAACATAACAGACATTATTTAGTTATTTATTTTCAGAATCAGCTTTATTTTGCTGCTACTAACAAAATATTTCAGTATTATTTTAGTTTTGTTTTTTTTCTCTCGCACCACCAGGGGTAGGGGTCAGCAATTCAGAATGGTTCTCCTTCAGAACCAACCTGCACTGTTTGGAATAAGCGGTGGGGTGAGCAGGTTGCCGTTGGGGAGTCCAAAGTTTCCCAGGGAGGTGATGAGGGGCAGAGTCTTTGGCATCGGCACCAAGGGTTGCACAGAGGGCATGAGGGGGTTAGCCAGGATGGGTGTTAGGATGGGCATGGTTGACATAGCTGACATGGATGACAGACCAACTGACAGGTTTGGCAAAGAACCCATTCCTAAAAGGAGGAAACACACAAGTGAACAAGGCGAGTTAAAGAGACTAGGACTTTCATTTTGTAGAAGGAAAACCCGGCAATGACTTTAACTGACCTAAGTTAAAAGTGTTATGTCAGTCATAATCTTGCTACCTATTATTCTTTGAAAACTACCTTCAATTTGTGAAAGCAATCATTTTAAATGCCACATAATTATCCCATTTTGAAATGAAAGTCTTCAAACGTATCAGTTCTTTTTCCTTTCCCACTGATATTTGAGAGTATGCTGCATGGAACAGAGGGTTTGTTTTTAAGTCTAATGTGGTTTTAATCTTTTCAAGGAGAAATTTTACCAAAACGTGCTGATGAAGGGATGGCTGAAGCAGAACCAGAGACAGGAGCCTGCTTCATGATAATTGGCAAGGCGGAGGGTAAATTTTGCCCCTGAAGCTTGAGCTTAATGAGCTTCATAGCGATGGAAAACTCCAGTCTGTCCATCTTTCCATCTTTGTCCATGTCAGCGAGGTTCCTACAGGATGAGAGAGAGAAAGAGCTGAGGTATTAACATGATTCATTTGTAGCAAAGCATGCATTCCTAGTACTTGTTTTTCCTTCACTTACACAATAAGGAAGCCCAGACTGACACAAGGGACAAAGCTCTGGTGGGACTGAATTCCAGTAGTTTTGTTCACACAAACACACTGTCTGTTCTAATTACAGTACATACACATACACTTTCTTACACACAGATTACTAGGTGGGGCAGGCTGTGAAGGAAGTGAGTGCTCAACAGGAAGCTTAAAGCACATTCAGAGGACCAAACAAACCCCGACAAAAAACAAAGGGTGGACCTACTGACCCATTGGCTCTGGCTGTATATTTTGCATAATTTAGGACAAAGACTCACTAAGTTAGTTGGTACTTACCAGATCTCAGCCAGTACAGAAGCAGGAAGGCCAGACTGGAGGAAGAATTTCCTGGCTTGTTCTCCTGCAGGTCGTCAAAAAAAAAAATCACTGGGGTTCAAATGGCTTACTGGTGACACTAACGTCAAGTATTAAGTCTGTTTGTTTTGACAACAGCCTACCTGAGACATAGCCAAGGACAGGAATGAGGGTGTCAAACTGTTTGTCGTGTTTTCCCCTCTCCTCTGGGGTGATAGCCCATACACTGGCTCCACCTGGACAAGACCAATAGACAATCTTGACTCTTGAAGTGCTTTAAAGTCAATTAAAAGGAATATTGGAATACAAGGTAACAAGAAGAGTATGAGCCACAGGAGGCCCTCACTAGTTAAGAAGCATGCCATATAACTGCAATGTCTTGGTTAAGGTTTCAGCCAGGGAATCATTTAATTATTTTATTTTACCGTAGTTATGCCTCTTAATGCAACAGTTAGTAAAAAAAAAAAAAGATAGGACAGTGGGATTTTTATAGATATATATATATACAAAAATAAAACATAGTAAAACTGAAAGGCTTCCTCATCTTGAGATCATCAATGTCTGCACAAAACCAACTAATAACTAAAACCACTACAAATCTCCTACACATCAGATGCAACATTGCAAACACACATCTACCACAGAGCCACTGCAATACTGTGATAATACAAAATGTAAGCAGATGTTGGGGGCACCTCTAAAAAAAAAAAAAAAGCTAAATGTTCCAGGATTATCCTAATACTACCTGCATCTTATGGCCCCAAACTTTTCAAGGCTAAACAAAAATGCTGAAATGCTGAATTCACTATACAGTGTCTTTCTTTACCTCATTATCCACCCACAGCCCTTCAGAAATCTGAATAATTCCATTCCAAATGAGATCCCCCCCTCAGACAAAACCATCCTTAACCAACCCCTGACAATGATTAATGTATAAAAATGTCCAGTCAGCTTTTTCAACTTCGCTTCATCCGTGCATATCTCAAGGTAAGTTCAGGGTTGGCCATGAATTAAATATGAAGTGTGAGAGGGTGAAGCTCAATTTCATAAGGCATCTTTAATAAAGTGGGATGAAAGACTATCATTGGAGCTGATAATCAGTTAATCAAATCATAACATCATCATGGCATACTCAAGCTTTTTCCTTCATTGTCTTTCCATAACTTCAAACCTGTGAAGCCATTTTTATGAAGAACGGACTGTTAGAACATTATGCGCAGATGAATCTGTCCATGTGGTAGCAACCAAATGACAGAGATGCAGATAAGGTGACAAAGATAAGAGTGGAGACAGAGAAGGCTGCACAAATTCAAACTAGAATAGCTGAGTAATGAGTATATAAACTATAACAGAGGGGTGGAGATAAGAAACAAACAGTACTGCAGCTGTAACATTACAGACGGAATTCAAATGGGGAAAACGGAACAAACTTTGTCTGTCAGGTCCTAACAAGCTCATCTTGCTGTTTGACAGCAGCAGATGGGCCTCCCTGATGCCGGTGCCTGTTACCATAGTGATCACAGTGGTGGAAACCTCAAAACTTGTCAACACAGATTTTTGTCATAGCAGTAAGTTTAGAACAAAAACAACATGTTGAGTTTATTGAAATTTTGTCCTTCGAATGATTAAACTCCTAATTAAAATCATCATTGGTTAAGCTGCTTGCTATAAACATGATTAAGCAAAACAATTCAACAGTACACATACTAAATAATGGCTTATGTAGAAACTGTGGAAAATTACAATATTTTGTTTGCTGAATATGATAGCTGTAATATTATTTATTGGAAAAACATGATTCTTTGGGCTGTTATGGGTGTGCGTCTGGTATCCAGCTGTAATTTATTCACAAGCTTCAGGAAATACCACTCTGCCCATGATAGAACTTCCTCCCCCAGTGCTAACCAAAACAACCCACTGGCTCTTTTTGCCCCCCGACAGACATATTAAACATACATTTCTGAGGAATGACTTGAGCAACAGCACTGAATGTACCCAGAAGATGAGGCAGAAGCAGCTATAGAATTAAAGTGAAGGTGAATAAAATACTATACTACTACTATGTTCTATATGAGGAGATCACAACCAATCTGCCAGCTATTTGCTCGGACCTGAGAAATATTTGTCAGCAAACACTGTAGACTTGATATGATTTCAATATCTACACGCAGTCTACCCTACACAACCACCTGCAACACCTGTTCAGGTATATGCTTTTTCCCTGACAGAGCCAATGTTAGCAGCTTGCAGCACCCGACCTACTTTTGGCAGACTCAGCAAAACGCAGCCACAAAAAGAGAAAAGTAATTAATCTGATGTGAGTATTCGTCACACTGTCTCGGCTTTGACAGACCTCATTTTGAAGTTATTGTAAGTAAGAAAGGGAGGCAATATTTAGCACAGCACCACCGGGACATGGAGCTAACATGACCACATCCACAGGCCTGTCAGTTTATTCAGTGTGTGTATCAGCTATGGCTGAACACTGTGTAGATAAGTGGGACCGTGCAAAGCGTCTTATAAAGCACTGGCAGAATCCATAGGGGTCTTCTGTGGCTTGACAGTTGTGTTGGAAATTTATAGCATCTCAAGGTGAGACCAGATAAAAGGTTGGCAAATTTCTGAATTTGTAGAAAATATTGTGAATGCTAATTATAATGTGGCTACAGAATTTCAAAATGTTTATTAAGTTGACTTTTAGTTATATGACTGGAAACTGGTCTAAGAACTTCAGGCGGCAGGTGAACCACACTTCACCTCCTCAGCAGCTGCGACACAAGTTTCTGCCTTGTGGGGTTTTATTTCCCTTTTGTCAGCCTGTGTGCTGTTGTCTAGGTGCTGGGAGACAACGCATTGGTCTGCTGGGGGGAACCATGTCACTGCTTTCATAACCAACTGCTCAAAGAATTAAGGGAAGACTTAAAACAGACTTTGGATCTTGCTGAATTAATTATTCAAGTTGAAAACTTTTACTAATGTAAGACAGAAAGAAAGTCACTTTCGGCTTTTCCCCGTTGAGGGGTAGCAACAGCGAACTGTCACACTGACAACTCGCGTGTTTTACGCCGGATGCCCTTCCCGACACAACCCTGATTCGAACCCGGGGCGCAGTGGCGAGAATGCTGTGCCTTAACCACTAGCCTACCAGGGACAGCCATGTACAATGTATAATTTGTTCAGAACAAAATGACATAACAATGGTTAATGGAAACCAAAATCATCAACCTATGGAGGGCTGTATTCAAAATCACACAATCAAAGTGAAAAATTGAAATCACAGGTTCATCCAAGTTGCGTGAATTTCATCACGGCAACTCATGATGTGACTCAGAAGTGTGTATGGCCTCCGTGTGCCTTGGGAACGTGAGGGCCAGTCAATGCCATCAATGCCCTGGTCATCCAGAAACTGCCTACACACCGTGGCCACATGAGGCCATGTAATATTTTGCACCAGGAGGAACCCAGAGCCCCATGCACCAGTGTACGGTCTGGCATTTGCTCTGAGGATTTCATCCTGGCACCTAGCAGCAGTCAGGGTACCGCTGGCTATGACATGGAGGTCTGTGCAGCACTTCAAGGATATGCCTCCCCCAGACCATCACTGACCCACCACCAAACCGGTCATGCTCGATGGTGCTATAGACAGCATAATATTCACCACGGTGTCTCCAGACTCTTTCATGCCTGTCACATGTGCTCAGTGTGAACCTGCTCTCATCTGTGAAGAGAACAGGGTGCTAATGGTGAACCTGCAATCCTGGAGTTCTCTGGCGAATGCCAATCAAGAAACACGGTACTGGGCCTTGAACAGATCGTATTAGAGGATGTTGGCCCCTCATGCCACGTTCATGGAGTCTGTTTCTGACAGTCTGGTCAGAAACATGCACACCAGTAGCCTGCTAGAGATCATTTTGTAGGACTTTTGCAGTGGTCCCCCCGTTCCTCTTTGCAGGAGCAGATACTGGTCCTGCTGCTAGGTTGTTGCCCTTCTACAGCCCTCTCCAGCTCTCCTGGTCTAATGGCCGGTCTCCTGGTATCTCCTCCATGCTCCCAAGACTGTGCTGGGAGACACAGCAAACCTTCTTGCAACTGCACGTATGGCTGTGCCATCTTGGAGTAACTGGACTACCTGTGCAACTTGACTGGGCTGCAGGTGCTGCCTCATGCAACCAGTAGTGACCAGGACACTAGTAAAACCAAAACTTGAGAAAACTCAGTCAGGATGAATAAGGGGAGAGCATTTGTCTGTGGCCATCACATGCAAAACCATTCCCTTTTTGGGGGCTGTCTTGTTTTTGCCTCTCCACTCCACCTGTTGTCACTTTCCTTTGCACCAAAGCAGGTGAAACTGAATCACAATCACTTGTGCTTTCTAAATGGACAGATTGATATCCCTTAGGTTTAACTGACTCAGTGTTATAGTGTGATGCTCAAGTGTTCCCTTAATTTTTTAACAATTTATTTACATATCATACATGTCACCTGAGGAAGACAAGATGATGTTTCAGATTGCTACAGTGGAGCAATACATTTAAGCCTACACAAACACGCACTCCTCTCCTTCTCTACGAGTGTTGCACCTGTCCACCTGTTTTGGAAGTTCACAGACTAATAATTTTAAGATTGCCTCACTGCAGATTCACTGTGTTAATGAGAGTGCAATAATGCAAAGAGCTCGGCCTCCCATACTGGGTGTTTCCATGGAGAAACACATCTCTTTGTGCTTCTGATTGCTTTCGTACTGCATCCATCAGCTAGATAGGATTAAAGCAGAGAGTGTAGTCATGGGGTTTGGCACTTTGTCACACTGCAGAATTAGCCATGTGGACAGGATGCATGTGACAAACACAAACATTTTCTCTGAAGCAATTCCCACAGAGACCCTTAGGAAGTGGCAACTACTGTTCTATGATTAGAGGCTGGAGACCAGAGGATTAACACACACATATACACACCAGCGAGCGATTCTGTCCATGCATGTACCAAGGACAAAAGAAACGCATCACCTTCAAGACTGAGAAACCTACAATCACCAAAATAGCTCATGATTTGCATAAAATTAATTAAAAGTCATCTGATATTCCCTCAAACAGACTACGCCGGAGGGGTTTTTGTACCATACAGCTTTTCTTCTTTCTTGAAAAACGTCACACAAGATCAAAGATTCAGTCTAGTTCTGGTCTGATCCTTCACCCCAACGCAAGATCAATATCCTATTAACACCATCTCAATATTCTCAGGTCTCGTCTTCACAACAACCCACAGCTTACAGTTAGGGCATGCCATCCCACACACAACACAAAAGGAGTCCAAACATTAAAACGTGACACTGAAACACTTGGTGCTCAACGGTCAGCTCTCTCACCCTGTTTCAGCTCATTGAACTATTCCATTCAAGCTGATTTTCAACCCTGTCCACTTTTCCTAATGTGCATATCTGCCCCTCTCAGACAAACGCATTAGGAGGACACACACACACACACAAGACCAAAACAATGTGTTCTTACCATTCATGGCTGCAGGTGGAGAGCACGGGCAGAGAGGGAAGTCCTCCACTCAGCCGGCTAGCTCTCAGACATCTGCAGAGAAAGAGCGAGGGAGAGGGAGCAAGAGAGAGAGAGAGAGATGTAAGTGTGATTGTGTGTTACGGAGCAGCAGGTATACAGTAAGTGAGGAACAGGAGCGTGCATGTGGGAATAAGGAAGACGAGCATAAAACAAAACTAAACATCATATCTTAGTGAACAATGCAAGAAAGGTACGGCGAAGGGCTAACATGGTGAGGGATGATAAAGTGAGGAAGGAACAGAGGAGGGGAAATAAAGAGAGAGGAGGGAGACAAGATCAGAGAGAGAGGAGAGGATGAGGAGCAGAGATCAAGACAATGCCAACAGGGAGAAGTAGGTAAGAGGAAGGCAAACGGTTGACAGAAACAGGGGAGGGAGAAATGACAGTGGTTTGGGAACAGGACAGCATTTGCTCTCAGATCAGATCTTAGTGTCTTTATTTACATTGGCAATTTTTCTGTGATGTCATTTTAGGAATATTTCTTTTATTATGGATGTAAATGTTTGTCTTGTCAGGTTTATAATATCTGTTACAACTCTGTCCTGTGGGGAGAAAAGAAACTATTTCATCCAGGACTGACAGACATTAACCACGAGTAGAGGCAATTCACTGTCAGTTTCACTGTCTGCATGGAGATTGCTGAAGAAATGCTATTAATATAGAAAATGACCAGCCTTGTCATTTAAACTGCAAAATGAGCCCTATATGCATCATTTTTAACTAGCATAAAATCCTCTCAGGCTGGGGTTTTATGTGTAGTCTATTATTTCCCAATCTCGGAATTTTGCTTTCTATTAATCCTCTTCCTTTGCGTTGCTGTTGTTGCTTAATTGTTTTTCAGTTCACTTGCTCTGGCAACATAATCCCCATATTCCTAATCACTGGTGCTTGCTATATCTACAAACTGAAAATGTAGGCTTAATCATAAATGTAATCCAGCTTGCTTCCTACTCTCAGGCGGCTCCTGTTCCTATTCATCTACTTTCTCATTCCATTATTTAAGCAGTTCTTTCAGAATTATTAGTCCTATCTCTTTATCTCATCTTGTTTCATCTATAGAATCTACAAGCCCGCAGCGTACAAGCAAGGTTTCTCCTCAGCTGTGATTCCTATCAGGTCTGTAAAATCTCTTCTGTGCTTTTGCCAAATCATTCTCAGTCTCTTTCTCTTCTCCACTCCATTGTCCACTCAAACCTCCCCTATTTCTTATTCATCCCTCATTTGAACACTGCACCCCCTACTTATATGACTCCCACCCAATTTCTTTTATCCCTTCCTCTCCCTCTTCTCTGGTTACACTAGAGCTCCATCATTGGCCTTCCTGTTTTTGTTTCAATTCCTGGAGGGGAGACCATGGTTGTTGTAGTATAAATCATTCTCTGCACATGCCGGCACTGCCAATTACTTAAGAGCAATGAAGCACTAACTAAGGAGTGTGTCTGTGCATGCACTCGCTATTGCATGTGTGGAAGCTCACCAACTACATGAGGAATAAGCCACACACAAACAAGCAAACAATACTGGGATTCTAAATCCAAAACCATAAATCCTTCTAGGAAAAAACAAAAAAAAAAAAAAAAAAAAAAAAAAAGAGGAAGGAAGCAGCTGCACAAACAAAATCTTGTAAATAATTAGCATCAGATTGGATTATAGAAGCTATATTCAACCCAAGTTCTTTGTAGCTACTTTCAAACAAACTAGAATTTGTGATTATGCTAATGCTAACTGAGGGTGTAACAATGCATCGCGGAATAATATATACTGTGATTTGAAAATGTGACAATATGCATTGTGAATCTAAAACATGGATCACGGTGTTGTCAAGTCTCCCAGGAAATTTATTTCTGTTAACAAGAGAGGGCAATAGACCAAATCTATTTTCTGGTCCTGTCCCTGAGGTTCACCAGAGTTAGCTACACCTTAAGTATTGTGTATTGAACCGAATCATAAGCCGGTTGTATCGGTACACCCCGACTGAGCTGTACTTATTACCATGTTTATGTTACATGTATCAGTCTTCTCAGTTCACGTCATTAACAGCATTATATTAAGGATCAGGTCACATTTGTTGACTTTTTAAAAAAATCTATTTAACTTGTCAATCTATGCGGATTCTGAGCTATGCGGATGTACATGTGTGTATATACACTCTATGTGTGCCGCTAAACTCCTTAAGCAAATACTTTGCATGAAATTTTTTAGCAAACTCTTATCAGCCTTCACACACAGTACTATACCCTCAGGTGTGTGTGGTGTCAAATACAAGATCTCCTGTTGGCTTTGTTAGAGAGTGTTCTCTGTTCAAACAGGACACATCCTGGATAAAAACAACATTGAAGGATAAGAGAACACCCTCAACATCAACACTGACTATACCTTCACAGGCTCACAACAACACATTTCACTCAATTGCTTATGATTCCTCAACAGCTTGGGATGGTTTAATTTGTTTAAGTTGCTAACAGCGTTCACAATAAAGCTGAAAAACCACCTCTTATGTGGGCCGGTATTGCAGTGGCTCAGAAAAAACAAAGTACCTGAGACATTCTTCCCCCTCCAGACTTGATGGTGTATTCATGTTTCAGAACTGCTACATGTAGTAGCACTTTGTCATTTGATTTGGGGAACAGTGCAAGTTGCGTTAAGGACCAGTGGTTTGCTGGCCCACTGCACTGAGGGACAAAATTAATCACAGAACCTTTGAGTCTGCCCTGCATGCTGATCGACACCTGTGCACACCGCTCTGGACCAGTCAATTGTGTGTATCAGTGAGCTGGCCTGTGTGCATGAGTGTGTCTGACATACACTTCTCACACAGAGGGGACCCTGTTCTAGCAGACACAGCTCAGGAAGCTTTCCTGGGCCTGAAGAAGAAAGAAGCCTGTGTGTATGCCCTGTGTGTGTGTGTGTCGGTTCATATTTTCTTCTTATTCAAGAGCAGAGAAATGCACAAAGACATCCACACACCTTCCTCCGTTGTGCTGCAGGTGAAAATCAGGGACACTTCCCCCAGAAAGAATCATTCTTAATTTCTGCTTTGTGGGTCAGCTTGAACAATGATACACCAAACCCTTTTTCACTTCCTTTACGCTACTGAGCCCCACTAGATATAACCCCAGCTCAGCACCATGTCCTCCCTCCTATGTACCCTGGCACAGGAATTTTACTTTGGTCATAAAGAATAATGCCAAATTGTCAAAAAAGCATTCACATTCATGGTACACTGACTGCCACATGAAAATACACCTTGTGTGTCCTCTATAAAATAATTTGTGGCTATGTGCATGTTTGAATTATGCAATGCTTTTTTTCTTGGCAGGTGGATAAACAACAGACCCTGCTGGGAGAAGGCCAGATGTCAAAGGAAGTGCAGGTTAGATGGACTTTGCCACTTCAGTAAAGAAAGCCTCCTCATTTTGTTTTCACTGAGAGCAGCAGAGCACACACACACACACACACACACACACACACAGAGAGACAGACTATCATAAATTGCAGATCTCTATAATTACTCTATACTGTGGTGAATGTACACAAGCATATAGAAAACTGCTAAACCTGCACCTGTTGTCTCATACAAGACAATCTAAATATCTTTTAACAACTTTCCATATCAAACACCTTAATATTGGCAACAGTGGGATAAAAACACACCTGACAGGTTTCAAAGAAGAGGCCATGTTTGAGCTATATTTTCCATAGATAGAGATCTACATTTAAGTAATATTATTAGATTAAATAACAAAAATTATAGATATAATAGTCCCACACCATGTGAAACAATATTACAAACTACATTAAGGTCGCTGTGTGCTGGGTTGAGTAAGATAGGTCCAGAAATTAAATAAACTTAAACTAAACATGGCCAAATCAACAAGCCTTTGTAGATTGGTCATATCATTAAACTGACATTTCTGGACAGTGAACATTTAGTTGGCACTCCATTTTTTACAGTAAACATCTTTTCTGTAAACAGTAAATTTACATTGGAGAAAAAAAAGCCTCTCTGTAGTCCTAGTTTCTGGCATAAAACGCTAAACTGCCTATTTATAGCAGGTTAAGATAGGCTTGCAACGGCTATAAAAATCAAAATGTGTTAATTTACACATTTCCTTCATCATTCACACCACGTTTGACACTTGACACTACCAGTGTATTAGACCAGCTCTTGCTTTGGTTGCTTATAATAGACTTCTCTATACACGTCGGCTAGATGCATTTAGACGTATTAAAACATACAAGGTGTAAACATCCTATCTTTCAGTCATATGGGGTGTTTTTCATCTATAACGCACACAATAGGCTATCACTTTGGTTTAGTGGCAGGTTTCAGAAACCCGTATATTTTAGGGTGTGCAAAAAGTATCCGATCTCCAGCAGCTGATGAAACCAGTGTTAACACTGCCTCGCCTTTATAATTAAGAATTTAATAGAGCAGGACATCCCGCTTAGCTTCCGAGAATAGGTAAAACGGGGTCAACGGCGACCTTGCCAAGACTATTTTACTTTTTTTTTCTGTCTTCTCGAGTATTAGGATGATTTCTTGTTATTTACCTGTTGCGGTAGAACAACGATCCGACATCCAGAATGGCAACCTTGCTGCTGAAGAGGGAGGAACCGAGCCAGCAGCCGGGCGGGTGTGGACTGGAAATGGGCGTCTCAACTGAAGTCAAACCGAACAGAATTACTCACAGGACTTCCGGGAAAAGCCTTCAAAATAAAACCAATCAACGTTGACAATAGTGCGACATTTAGGTTGTAGGCTATATTTGTTAAAAATTGTCAAATTTGAGGGTGACAGCACGGTGTAGTGTTAGATATGTTACGTTTAAGGTTTGAGTAGGTCCCCAGGAAATGATGTCAGACTACAATGTCAAAGAAAGCTCATTATGGTCAGATTTGAATTGATCTATGTAAAACCCTGCCATACAGGGTGTCACATCACCTAGGCCATTTCCACGTACAACTTGACCCTAGGTTGTGTGTGGATGTCTTGAACTGATGTTTGTTGGGACAGGCCATTACTGAAATGCACATGTACAGTAAGGCTACATTAGTTTTAATCAGTCATTGTGAGGATTAAACATATAAATGTGCTGTCTTTGCATCTTTCCATTTTTTCTGATCATCGATATACGATTTCTTCTGCTATTCCGTTAACTACAGTTAATCACATTTGCCTAGTTTATGACGATGGTGGCCCCATCCAGAATAGGACAGCCACTGGTCTGGAGCACCTCCAAGAGCCCAATTCCAGTATTACATCAACAAGTTAACTATCAACATAAAACTGACCACGATACCCTCATTATCTGAATGATAATTTGATGTAAGAGAGCTTGTATCAATATAAAACATCAGTGAGGATTTATCTTTATGTCACTGAGCAAATAAACCAAATTACAGGTTTATTCTCCATTCTGCAGTATGAATGTTAGACTTTCAACAATTTGGATGAACATGACCATTTAGTAGATTAAATATGTGGTCATCATAATCACTTTCAAATTTTCAAAGCTATTTAAAAAAATCTGTAATACTGTATTTAGATTACTAACAAATGAATATTAACCTTTTAAAATATTTGAGCAAAATAAAGAGGAAAGCAAGATGCTTTCAAAAGTTTATATAACATGCAGAAGAGAGCAAGAAACAGTAGCCCATTAAGTTCCAGGTCATTTTCCGTTCTGAAGTGTATTGTATATTTACATTGTGCACATTATTTCAAGCACTGAAATGCTCATTGTTACCTACATCACATTAGAAAAATGACAATACTTGCTTTGAATTTACAAGATCTTTTCATTGTCAGTAACACTTGTTACTTAAAAAAATAAAATAAAATCAACATAACAAATACATGACTATGGATAAGATCACAAAAGGCACCAATGAAAAAAGGAACAAATCACTGAACCTTTAAAAGCAAACCAGAATCGTTCATAAAATATAGTACTCTGACACAAAATAATCATCATCAAAATGAAGTTCTGTGCCACGAGATCCAAATACAAATCCCTATGAACTTATTACAAATAACAGTTCCAACATCTAAACATAGAAGAAAAACTGAATTAAGCTTCAGCTATTTTCAACATTGCCAGACAAACCTTTACAGTTAGCTTTGAAACCATATAGAAATTCCATACCTCCATTTTCTGAGTCAGTTTAACAATCATCTTAAGAAACAAAGCATGTGTTCTTGTAGCTTTGAATTGTCTTAAGAATTACATAAAAAAAAGTTTTCACAACAAAGAACTGCCATTGAAGCTAGAACACCTGTCTCTTATGAGAACCACTGATTAAGATCCTGGTAGATGCCTGCTTCACTTTCTGTCTTCAAAATAGTTTAATAAGTGTATGACTCATCTGGAACATATTCTTGCTCTTCTTTGATTTGTGCCCCTTCAGTGTTCCAAGATACAGTTATCATGGAGAATTCCTGTGATCCTGCTGTTTCAGCTGGGACTACATGCTCGACACGTTCTGCATCCAGTTCTGTTGGCATGCTACTCCAGGTGTGTGGACATACAGTATCATATCCGACAGATGCTTGTGGTTCTGCCAGAATATAATAATGGCCATCCCTAGTTTCTGATTCTCTTTTTAAATTGTTTTCAGAGGTTTGACATGTGGTCATATGTCCAAGGGGTCCAGCAGGTTCACCTGGGACTAAATACTCGACATGCTTAATGTTTGTCTCCAGTTTGGCATTTTCACAGTGTGGATGAAATTTTTCCTCATAGTCCAGTTCTGGTTCCATATTACCATAATAAGGATTGTATTCCTCTTTCATGGTCTGTATTTTTGTCTCTGGTTTGGCATTTTCACAGTGTGGATAATATTTTTCCTCATAGTCCAGTTCTGGTTCCATATTACAGTAATAAGGATTGTATTCCTCTTTCATAGTCTGTATTTTTGTCTCTGGTTTGGCATTTTCACAGTGTGGATAATATTTTTCCTCATAGTCCAGTTCTGGTTCCATATTACCATAATAAGGATTGTATTCCTCTTTCATAGTCTGTATTTTTGTCTCTGGTTTGGCATTTTCACAGTGTGGATAATATTTTTCCTCATAGTCCAGTTCTGGTTCCATATTACCATAATAAGGATTGTATTCCTCTTTCATAGTTTGTATTTTTCCCTGAAGATTGTAATGACCATCCTGTTCTATTAGGAACCCATGTTCCTTGTCATCACCCCAAGGTTCGCTTTTAATGACTGGTCGTGCAAATTGACTTTCATTTGTTGTCTTGACTGGTTCTTCCAGGAAAGACTGGGATCTTTCCTTATTTTGACTCTTTGGTACTACCCTCTTCTGGATAAGCAACGTAGATAATAGATGGATGGATGGGCTCTTTGGTACTAATCCTTCTGCTGACTTGAGTTTAAACACAAACGGTAGTTCGAAAACCTCATCTGCTTTGTGTAGATATTTCCGGTAGTGTTTGGCCATGTCTTTGACTTTGCTTGCAATTTCTAAAGCAAATTCCCTGTGTCTGTCATGTTGTGAGCTAAGATCAAAGTTATAGTCAAGAATGTCATACAATGTGCCTGGAAAATATGGTGTTAATGGCTTAGTTGAAAATGTATATATCTCCATCATAACAGCTCTAGTCAACAGTTTCAAGTCCAACTTTTCTTTGTCTCTGGATTTGCATGTCACATCTAGGTCCAAACCTATCTCCTCACAAAGAGGAAATGAATTCTTTTTCTTTTTCTTTGGTTTTACAGCACTCACCTTATTACTTGGCAATGAGGTGCTTTCCTTCTTTGTTTGGAGTGCTAACTGTCTTTGTTTGGCTGATCCCTTCCTTTCACTTTTCTGCATGGCAGATATCTTTTTGAGTTTACTTGCCATTTCCTTCCTTTCACTTTTCTTATTACTTGGCAATGAGGTGCTTTCCTTCTTTGTTTGGAGTGCTAACTGTCTTTGTCTGGCTGTTCCCTTCCTTTCACTTTTCTGCATGGCAGTTATCTTTTTTAGTTTACTTGCCGTTTCCTTCCTTTCACTTCTCTGCATGGCAGATATCTTTTTGAGTTTATTTGCATCTCCAGGATTTTTGTGAGAACATGGCTGAACTACAAAAACTTCATCAAACCAGCTGGGCTCTTGATGTCGTGGATTCACAACTCTCATGAACAGTTCACTTGTGTTCACATTGTCCTGGCTCTGCATGCCCAAGCTGAAGTTGTGTTCAACTACATCATTAATGATCTTCAATTTTCTTCCACATACTATCTTAGCAAGACAAAACAATTCTTTTATAATCCCACGTGTCAGAAACTCTGTGCCGAGTTTCTCTTTTGGTTGGTTTTTGTCCACACTTAGACTTAAACCTATTTTCTTGCAGCGACGGCAACGGTTCATTATTTTTTTCTCTGTTGCTAGAGAGGTAGAAGTTGGATCAGTTGCAGGCTTCTGAGCTGTGCAGTTTGCTTCAGCAGAGACTGTGTCAGACTTGGCATGTGGATGAGTGTGAAGCACATGAACAGGATCAGACTCGTCCATACAAAGCTTAGAGTTTCTAACTCGATAACATTTGGGGCAATATTTACTTTTGGGGTAAGTAGATTCTTCTATGCATCCTAAGTCAGGGAGTTCAAAAGGCAGGTTCAACAGCCTGTCTTTTCTTTTGCTTGCTGCATGTTTGCATTTTTTGAAAATCTGGAATGCAAAGACACTACGACACAGCTCATTTTTCAAATTGAGTTCAAAATTGTACTCCAGTATGTCTGTGATGAATTCCTTTTGGGCTGACTGCAGTGCTGTGGCAAAAGTGTCAAGTTCAACCATGATGCCATTGGTCAGTAATTTTGGATCAAGATTTTGCTTTACTCCAGATCCTACATTGAAATCAATGCCTGCCTTCTTGCATCTGGAATAAGAATAAAGTGGGCAATCTTCTCCGTGAGGCACTGAAAGGATATGTTGAACTTGATTAGCCCGCAATTTCCAAAGAAATAAATTGAGCTCATCTTCTGGTTGACTGTCAGTAGAACTTCCTACAGTTTGGTCTACGATTGGAGCCTGGTAAGAACTAGTACTACATGCCTCCACACTTGAGTTGATCTGGCAATCCTGTACCCCCGGTACTGACACACTGTGCTTTAGGTTCCTGGGACAAATTGAGAGACTGTTTTGGTACATTATTACAGGAATTTGCTCAATAATGTTTCCGGC